CTAAGCATTTTCCATTATTTTAAATTTGCCTTAAGTGGCAGCGTTTGGGCAGCAAACTCTCCGTAACCATCTATGAAGTCTTTCATCTGCGAAACATTATGAAAATTAATATTTTTGAGGGGAGTAAATCTATGCATAATCATTGTAACAAAATTTACCATAGTGCTTAAATAAATAAAACAAAATGCGGAAAGGATTTAGAATTATGAAAAAGTTAGGGCCTTCCCTTGATTATAACATTTTCTCGAAAATTTTAAAGGATAAGAAGCATCATATGTATGTACTATGAAATGCAAAGTTGATAATGAAAACTTTAGAATTTATGTCCGTTAAGATTTTGGTTCATTTACAAGGCTGGAGATCTATTCTAAATTTTTACTATCAGAAAGGAAGCAGCATAAATATGATTTAAGTTTTCGAAAAATAAGAAGCTGCAATAAACGATACACAAGACAAAAACATAACATGTAATGTAATATTCTTTGTATATATTTTTAACTTATTGTCATTAGATACTCATTGAAGAACAATAGAAGAATAAAAGTATTTACCGCTTTGAAGTTTTTACTATCTCTCTTTCTATTCCTTTGTAAATTCGAGCAGACTGAAGATGCCACTCTTTAAACAAAGAATCTGTCTCATGAAATACCAAAACAGCTCTTAATACTTAAAAGCAGGTGAAGGCAATTGAGGAATAATTTAAAAATTATAAAATTAGAAAATTTAAGTGTAAGCTTGAAAGGAAAAAACTTACTACATCTGTGCTTATTGCATCTTAAGTCGTTTTATTTATTTTTGAATGTTTTATGGCATTGTTGCCTATAAAGCTGAAGAAAGTCTTACCTTTCTGACTCTTACTTGTATACAGGGTGATCATAAAGTTCCTAAATTGGGATTTAAAATAATACCTCATGTCTTGCAAGCAAAAGTTTTGCAAATGAAAACATTATCTGCCATTGCAACAAGCGTTTGACCATTCTGTCTGTTTGGAAGTAGTAGACTATAAAATGATTAAAATTAGAAACATATATGAAACCAGTTTTTCGTTTTTGACCCTTTATAAAATTGCTTTTATGCATAAAGGATATGACTCTTGAGTAGGTTTTGAATCGTCATAAAATGGTTTGCCCATAGCGACGTGCAGGACGTTTTAAATTAACAGTCCAGAAACTTTCACTTACCTAATTCGAAATTCTGCTACTAGGGAAGCAATTTTAAGTTTCTTCTGGATAAGAAAATGAGCTGTAAAATGAGGCTTAAACTGATAAATGAACTTAACTAGTATATTTACGCAGTCTTCTACAATTTTTACGGTTAAGAAGGGCGAGCTTAGATTTGTTGACGGTCAATTATTCGTTTCAGTTTAGCATAGTTAGTGTTAGCACAGTCAGCACAGTTAATAGCACAATTAGTCTATTGTGTCTGATGTAGCATTTACGAGTACAAAAACACGAGAAAATAATTATCCCTTCTTTAGAAGTACTTCAGATGAATGTAAACTAGATTTAATTTTTTTAAATTTATTGAAAGAAAATGTAATTTAGCAAGCTACTGGATCTTCGGATCTATAATTAAATAAAAAATAAGTATAATAAAATTATTCCCGTCAAAAATAATCTTTCTGATTAGATACAAGCGAAGAATTCGAATTCAACAATTCCTAAATCTTAAAAATTAACTTTCATTGGCCCACATGGGAAAAGAATAATAATGTAATAGTTATATATAAAGATGACAACAACAGCAAGAATAATACCACGTAAGGTAATAATAATTGAGCGGTAAAACTGTTGTACTCTTTTTTTTTAAATCCAGACGAAACCGAAAAAAGACAGCTCAACAGGACTTTACTATTAGTGATTTCTGTGGCCCTACTGTATTGTTATACGTATTATAAAGCGTAATAGACGGTCAAGAATGAGAAAACAGGACATTTAAAGCGCACTATATGGACTCAGTTCTTCCTCATGTGTAAATTAGTGACGAGGAGGCACAAAGCTATACAAAATGTTTAAATAGAAGAAATTAAAAAAAACTATTCATTATGCTTTTCTGACTGGAATAGGCATATTAGGACAAGAAGATAAACTCACGTTAATTGGAATAGGATAGTGGCGATGGTGTTGAAAAAAAGGACGGAGTTCTAATGAACTAAGATTTGATTCTGTTTTTCAAGTATGGAAGGGTTACAAGTGATGTCTGTTGAAATTGATAACTAAAGATTTTTAGTTCAAACTCCTGTGTTTTTTTAATCCCGATGCTGAAAGAAAAGGAAAATATGAAAATTACGAGATAGAAAATATGGAATGCATAAGTTTGCCTTCCAAATTATGCCTTTGAAAATAGAGACAGATGATTGTAATATGATACTGGGAGTTGTAAGTCAATAAATTACTAATATACAGGGTGTTTATAAAGTCCCGGACCCATTTTGATATCTAATAACTCATAAAATAATAAAAATAGATTAAAATTATTAACATAAGTGGTTAGATAGACTCAAAAAGTTTCATGAACCTTGTCAATGAACTTCCACGTGTGTCCCCTTCGTCGCACGGATAATATCAAGTCGATATTCAATTTCACGCCAGGTACCGGCAAACAATGTCGGCATCCACAGAGGACTATTGCGGTCGTAATTCTGGCTTTTAGGTCATCCATATTCGACACTCTCCTCCTGTAAACGTTGTCCTTTACAAATCCGCAAAGGAAAAAGGTCCAGATATCAGGTGATCTGGGTGGCCAATGAATTGGACTTCCTCGCCTAATCCATCTTCCTGTAAAATGGTCATTCAAAGAACTAAGAATGATAGTACCCCAATGATGTGGTGCACCATCTTTGTTGCAAAAAGACATTTGCCTGAAGCTCTTCTAGTTGTGAAAATACGAAGTTTTCCAACATGTCTAAGTATACGACTGATGAGACCGTCTTTTCTGTAAAAACGAAAGGCCCAATGACTCGGTCCAACCACACATTAACCTTTTAGGAATCTCTTTGTGCCTCACGGTATTCATGGGGGTTTTAAGATCCCCATATGCGCACATTATGACGATTAACAATGCCAGAAAGATGCCAAAAACAAAAGAGAGAAAAATGCAATCAATAAGCAGACGATATTTAGAAAAGTACAGATATTTAGACTGGAAAATAAAATTATCTGAAATTAACCACACGCGCAGACGATATTTACAAATGTAAAGATATTCAAACCTGAAAAGGAACATATATAAGTTATTCCATCAATAAATGCCATAAGTTTGTTTATATCTTTATTATTTTATGAGTTATTAAACATCAAAATGGGTCCGGGACTTTATAAACACCCTGTATATCCAAGACGTAATATATAGGTACACAGAGCAAAGAAATACATGAAGATGAGTAAATTGGTTGTTTATTTTCATTTCAAATATTATATATGCATTTAATTATTTTAATAATATGGGGAAACCCTTTCTAAGTTCGAAATGCCTCAGGTATATTATTTTTTACCACGATATTTTCGAAGAAGATGCTTTTAAACTGCGAAGTTTTTGAACCGCTTTATTTTCGACCACTTTATGCCACGATGATTTAGAACTGCGATGTTTTCTCTCTGCTTTTTTACCTCTCACGATGTTTTGTGCCACAACGTTTTCGCCTTACGTTGTTTTCTCCGGGGCGTTTTCTACCACGATGGCCCCCCAGCGGCCGAGCGGTAACGTCGCTGAACACTGGTAGTTCGGTCCGAGGTTCGAATCCCGCGAACGGGCTGGCTGCATGGGCGTTTTCGTGGTTTTCCCCATGTGTAACGTGTATACGAGCCAGTTTCCCTTAGAAAGTCCTCCACGAAGGCATCCCTTTCTTAAGGCAGATAGCCTTCGAGTGCTTTGCCATAATCTAATAAAAAAAAAAAAAAAACCAAACTACCACGATGTTTTCGTCTGTAACCATCTGGAAGAGTTCAAATTAGCGTTTTTTGATCTTCTTAATCAGTCGCTCTAATGATTGTCGAATTATCTGTTATACGCTGTCATTATAAGATACAGTGTGGCTATGTGCATTCTATCAGTGCACAACGGCATCACTTTAAAAGTTTCAGGGTGTATTTTAAGTACCTTGCTACTAGTAACTAAAATTTATGAGTTGCCACCTGTTCTACAGTTAGCACAATAGTGATACATCCATGATTCATTCAAAACGTATTTTAGATCCACATGAAATCTTCCTAGTGCACTTCGAAAAGGAAAATATTGCTCGCAATCCTAGACAGATTTAAATTTAACATGTAACTCAATTTACACATTTCCCAGTATACATATTTATGTAATGCACATTTAATTTCAGGCAAGATTTGGTCAATATATCTTTATACATTAAATTCTACTTTATTTTATTTTAGAAAAATATGAAGAAAAGAGTTGATTGGAATTTTGTTCTTGATTCTAGTTGCCTTTTGTGCTGAAAATTATAGCCAGTTTTAGTTCCTGCAAAAGATTTTTTGAACATAAACCACAACTTTATTTTATATGTAATAAGTTTTCATGTTGTGAAAAACATTGGAGAATCTGAAAATACTAAATTTTTTAGAAGTCATTTGTTGAATGGTTTTGTAAATATTGGCTCTTTCTTAAAGAATTTATTGAGCACATTTGAAAATCTTACCTGATGTATGAAACATCATTCACAGTGAAAGACTATTAGAATAAATCTAAATAAAATAAATATTTTTCCTTACCATGTCAAAGAATGTAGCATAAATAAAGTGCTGAAAACTAAAAAATAATTCCAATGGGCTTATATTTAATTATAGCTATGAAGAACTTCTGGCAATAATAAGTTAGATTTATTACTCGACTAATAATAATAATAAATTCGTTCCCTTTGAAATTTACCTGGTTCAATAACAATAGTGTTGAAAGAGGTTTCAAACATTTTAATTCGTAATAGTGTGCTAAATTTGAAAATTATGAATAAAGATACGAAATCTATTTTAAAATGTTTTATCTATATCACTTACTCATTGTCATTACGTTTAGTCGCTGTCCATTTCTTTAATCTTTCTCTTCATATGTTTGCACCAGGTGATGAATGTTCATCTGAAATAAGAATAATAAAAGAATAATTAAAAGATTAATATCACAAAATTTATGCATTGATTTAATGTATAGATATGTATGTGTTTTGAAATCAAATGAAGGAAAGAAAAAATAAAGACGGATGAAAATTTAATCAGGCGAAAATACTAACCTTAAAATTTTATATTATTAAGCTGACTTATTTTAAGCGTAAATATAATTAACTAATTTGAATACAATTGTACCATCTATAATAATCATTTTAGGATACATTATGATATCCTTCCAAATTACACAAAGAGACAGAGACAAATAAGAAATGTAATTTCCGATCTGAATTTAGTCTTAAATTTAGGTACCTTAAAAAAATCTCTCACCTTAGCTCTTAAATATCCAAATGATATAAATACTATAGAAATTTCATAAGAAATATCTAGTTTTAAAACAATTTAATTTCAACATTTCTGGGTGCTAAAAAATTTGCAATTCAGATATTTTTAAAGATAATTCACGAATACAGTCATATCTAAATTTTGGTTTGGATTAAACTTTTGCAGAGCACGCAGGGAAAGTTGTATAATGGAAGGAATGTCTTTGTGAAAGATCTTTTTAAGTGAAACTACTCGAATTTGGAAGTCGTCTTTAAAATATTTTTAAAATTGTTAGTTATTTTTGCTTGTGATGACAGAAGACTCAGAAAACTTAAGACACAATTTTTTCCCCACATGTTTAAGAAACATTTTCTAACGCAACTTTTCTCTTTATATGACGCGAATTAAGTAATTAAGTGGATTAAAAATTATTTACAATTTTGTTTCATTAACGGCCTAGAATATTTTTGTAACATCTTTTAATAACTGCGTATACATGTGTCTTGAAATATGTCCAAGAAATGAAAGCATTATTTTGAAAGGAAAACATTCCAGGTATAAAATACAAGATATATTCTAGTATTTCAATCAAGAAAGTACCTCATTCTGACTGGTTGGAGTGTTAAGCACAAGAAAAATTAAATTACAAATTAATATATACGGCATTTTATCCTCCTTCCAACAAGCCTTCATGGTGTAGTGGTAACACACTTGGCGCGTATTCGTGAGTTCCAGGTTCGTGTCCAGAGATTGCGCTGCACATTTGTCACGTCTCCAGTTTTAAAAAAATAATGATTCTACAAGCGGCATCCGAACTAAAAGGTGGTGGACAATAATTCTTCACCACAACAATTCGGCTATTGGGTCCCCTAATCCCCAGTTGCCTTTAAAAGGAGGAGTATATAAGGTATTTTCTCCCTCTTTTCACCATGCATTCGTGGTGTAATGGTAGCACACACGGCGTATGTTCGAGTCCCGGGGAAGGCATTACTCATTTTTCATGTCTCCTTCCTCAAAATAATCTAATGACAGTGGTCCCGAACAGAGATTATTCCCCCCTTTTAAAGGGGGCGACTGGGGATTAGAGGACTCACTCGGCAAATCCTGGGGGTGACGAATTATTGTTCACCACCTTTTAGTACGGGTGCTACTGTAAAGTCATTAGCTTTTTTTTTTTGGGAGCACCAGACGTGAAATATATGCAAATCTTCGCCGGGACTCGAACCCTGGACCTTTCAAATACGCGTTGTGTATGCTTCCAATTACACCACGAAGGCATGTGGAAAGGAGGTAGAAAATACCATAAAAATTAGGGTAGTAATTTTCACATTAATTACATTACAATTTATACAATTTCAGTCTCATTTTCTATTTATAAAAAAAAAGTATTTTTAGTTAAAAGCTATTGTTATTAACTGTATAATTTTTCTGCGACAAAGTACACCTGCAAAGCTACATTTCAAAATATTATAAAAATTTAAAAAATATGATTTAAAGTAGTTACCTTTGATGAATGTAAAAGTATACAGATATAGTTAACTTGACATTAAATACGGATGCGCATTTGCTTGTTTGGCTCGGGTGACTATGCACAGCTCTGTTAGTTAGGTTCCATATAATTTAATTCTACACAGATCTTGAACACTGTTCCCTATAGTTACTAATTATCATTAACACGAGCAAATAAAATGTATAGAAAATATGTGCCACTGGAATTGAAATGAAACTGTTCTCTCAAAGCAGATTTTTTTAGTACTAAGCAGTCTCCCTCATTAAATATGATTTAAGAGAAAATACGTCCTTAAAATGCTAATCTGTCTTTATAATGTGATTTTTAGGGACGAACTAGGGACAGATAAAGAGATCACTACACTTAGTTGACGCTATTCAAACCAGTAAGACAACAGGCTTCAAAATTAAATTTTAAATAAAAACAGTGAAAGGGTAAGGAGATTACGTGTCTCCGGAATAAAAATATCACGTCAGGTCTCATGAGGTTCGCCAACATGCATTTTATCTACGGATCTGACAGCGGAACAGCCTCTCATATAAGATACTAAGGAATAGCTCTTTACACGTCCGAGTAGCTGCTCCATTGTAGCCTCAGCCCGATAGATAAAATATGTAAGTCGATGAGCTTTGCGATCGCGTAGCGAGGCATACCCCTGGAAAGTCGCACAGGGAATGACAATTTATGTTAGCAAAACGCTTTTACCTACTGCTTAACAGCGCCGTGGAGCACCTCAAAGACCTATTTCCGTGCACGTATCTACTACAAAATCTGTTTATCTTGCTCCCCTCCGCATGGCTTCGATTTTTTGCTAAATATTTTTGAATCATCGTGTATAAAGTCTCCTGAAATAAGCATTTAAAGAGTTGGTGAAGATTAAAAAATTTAAAAATAGAAGCTTCGAGGGTAATTCGAGGAAGATACCGAAAGAGAAGCGCTTGTTTTGTAAAAAATTATATTTAATCATGTTGTAGAGACATTAGGAATTTTTTGGAAGCAGAAGTTTTTGGAATTTTTTTAAAAAATTAGCAAAGCCTTCACCGGGAATTGAACTACGGATCTCTGGAATATGCACCCAGCGTGCAGACCACCACACCACGAAGGCATGCCAAGAAGGCGGGAAAAATAATGTATGCGAAGTACCTAAAGTACACAAAGCCTTAAAACAAAATTATATATACATACACAATTCTTTACACTGATATCATTTTGGTCTGAGTTAAAAAACTGGTTTTTAATCCATTGTTGAATATTATATATAAAGTAATCTGATGTATGAAAAATACTTAACTTATGCATGAAAAGAAATATGCTGTTGAAATAAACCACTAGTTGTAAAGACAGAGCAAAGCATATGAAACGAAGAAGAGCAAATGAAGCGTTTCTGAAGCAGCTACATCCTTAGACGCATCTAATGAGTATCTCTTCTTTTTTTAAAGAGCTTTTATCTGCTTTAATCATGCTAACGGATAACCCAACACTTGTTACTGGCAATAATTGTCGCATATTGATTGTCGAGTTTTAATTTTCTTTACTTCAACCGTCAGAAAGGAAAAGGAAAATTAAGCGATTAAACGTTTCGATCCTTGCGATCACTTCAACAAAGTTAAGAGACTAAGATTAAAAATCTTTAGAATCATCAAAGATATAATTCACTTAGCAAAATCTAAAGAACTATTGCTTATAAAGTAACTCTAGCTCAAGCTATAGAGGAAAATCTTATAGACAGATTATTTTAAACTGGGAACATTCATCTACTAATTCATATACTATTCGCTTAGGTTTATCTTCTCTAAAGCGAATAAAACTGCTGAACATTGGTAGTTCTCTAAAGTGAACAACACTGCTGAACATTAGTAGTTTCCGATTTTAGGTTCCTGAACGTGTTAGGTGGATACGGTCTCGTGGTTTTCACTACCTATGGCGTGTCTGCGAATCATTTTGTATTAAAAATTTATCCATGATAAAATTCTTCCTAAAATTTCGAAAGTTTTTCTGAAATAAATTAGAATATAGTGACTTGATAATTATTTAAGGTTTAATAAAATTGAAATGTTCTAGATAAAAGTAAAAGAAAAACTTAACTGTTCCTTGCGAAATTTACGATTCCAAAATTACTGCAGCTCTTATTTTCTTACGCACTTGTTATCAAGCACACTTTAGCACAGTTCATTTCTTAAGAGGAGCATTGTTTTGCACAATAGTATATTCTTATATAATATAATTATTCCTAACGCGTCAATGTACGGTCCAAGTATTAGCAGGTGACGAAACACACGTGCGTTTTGAGTTGAAAATTGTGGTTAATAAAAACAACAGCAGCATTTGGATACTAAAAATGTTAACTAAGGGGTTTTAGTGGTTGCTTATTCAAAAACACCTTCAAGCGACAAGATGATTTGAAATTATGAACTTTCTCTTTCACTCTGAAAAACATTTACTCTATTTTTTTTTTTACTTGTAAGAACTCTACTTATGCCCTGAGGCTGTTAAAATCTTCCGATTACTTTACATAAAATGTAGCTTTAATATAGGTCCAAAAGAGAAGAAAACTACGTAAATAAGCTTTAGATCACACAAGAAAGTAATTACAAAGTAAGAACTCCACAACATTTTCAAATCCAAAGATTTCTCTTATAATTTTTATATGCAAATAAAAAAATTCCGGGTTGCAAAACACAGAAATGCAGCGCTTTGTCGCAAGAGCCAAATAAAAAAATATTATTTTTTAATTGCCTGTAGGAAAATGAGCTTATAACAGCTATTCAGCAGGCAGGCTGGAGTGAAAAATATTTGTTTCAAATAAAACACTAATGGCACCACAGATTTTTTAAAATAGAAGCTGCAATCAATTGTATACTTCAATAAATATACAAAAAACTACACTTGTAATTATTCGCAATCCAAATCCATATTGATACTTAGATAATTAGATTGGTATTTAGGCAATAAGAAATATTTATCTAAAAAAGGTTGTAAGGTATTTTCTCCCTCCTCCTTTCTGTACGCCTTCGTTGTGTAATTGGAAGCATACATGGCACGTTTTCCAAAGATACAGGTTCGCGTCAGGCCAGGGCAGTGCACAATTTTTTACGTCTCCATCTTAACGGGAAATAGGAAAAAAAAAAAAAAAAAAAAAA